AGTGCCAACTAATTTTGGGTACCCAATTTGGGAAGCCTAGGGCCTGGTTTCTTGGACTAGTTAACATTTTGAAGCACTTTATATGTTCAGAGCAGAGCTTTCACATCTGATGCAGTTGTGAATGCTCGGCGCTTCTGCAATCAGACCCCAGCTGTCTGAAGCTAAGTATACAGAGGACAAGGAACACACAGTGGCTGCCTATGGAAAGTTTAGCGCTTTACATCATATAAGAATTCTATCACTGAGACAGGGAGAATCAAATCCCCTAAGGCAGCATTCAATTTGCCTTAGTCACAAGAGATCCTCCGTCCACTTCCTGCAATCCCCTGCCTTCTTCACTACATACCTTCCAATGTCTGTAATTAGTGAGTCAGGGATCCCACAGACAACAGCTTTCTTCTACACAACCCCGATTTGTTCCCAGAGAAGGTCCATCCTGTGCACTGAGTGAGGTAGGGGTTGTCTCAGGGGAAAAAAAAGTGCGTGCTTATATAATTAAAGACAATATCATAATGCATACACATAAGAGGGGTGAATTAGGGTTGCACAGCCTAAATTCTGGCTTTTCCTAACCTTCAAGTACTTGATTTTCAACGTTAATGGTCTTTTAACATATTTTTTTGGATGCAATTATATTTATCCCTCCACTGTAAGGTCAGGCTGTTTAGGACTGTACCAGACTCCAAATGTACAGGATTCTGAGGGAGTGAAAACAATAACCAGTGCATTTTAGAAACCCCTAAAAACTATCTGGGATGAGAATTAGCTGCACTTGACAGCTGTTTAATGTCACTCCGCTCACCATTCACGAGGCATTTCTAGCTCGTGCTGTGCTAATTACTTTTAGGAGAGCCATCTGATCATGCTGAGGGGATTACTTTAGATCTGTTTTATATCCACAGGGCCCTGCAACTACTGTACTCATTACACCAAAGCAAAATAAGTGCACAGTGGGAGTAAAATGCTCCCCAGTCAGGATGGTGGCTTGTACCTGCCCCATCTAAAGCTCCATTATCATGATAAGGGTTATTTCTCAGTCATTCATTCTCAGACAACAGCTGTTCAGACTCAGAGGAAAATCTTAACATGCAGCAATGTAAGTACATGGGACAGAAAGTAAACTGTGCACACTGGATGGAAACAAACATGGGCAGACAGTGCACTTTGGTTTCACTTATCTGTTTCTGCACGTGATGTTATCACAAACAAGAAGTAATTAAACCTCAAGAACAGAGGGGCTTTCTATTTCCTGACTGATAAGCAACTATTTAGGCAGTGACACTGAGCATGTCATAAGAGATTTGGACATCAGGATGCACCAGTAGTAAAATCTCAGGCAAAACTGTGTGACTTCCATCAAAAGGCTCTAGACACTCAGGGTGATATTCTGCCATCTTTACTCATGCTGATTTCAGTGGGGTTATACCAGAGTTGTAAAGAATAATAATTAATTTGGCCACCAGCAGATAGGAGCCATAATCAAAAAGAAAAGAAAAAAGAAAATGGCTTCACAACCAAAAATAAACACAAATAGTGAAGAAATCTAGGCAAAATAACCCAGTGCTCTTCCTGAATTACCCACCAGACTCTGCTGAGCTGCAATGCTTAACACAGTCAGATTCTATAATGAGGAGAAGTTTATCTTGAGGACTAAACTTTGAAGGAAAAGAGATTTAAAACATATTAGGGCAAGTATGACCATTCTTTCAAAGGAACAATTATTTAAGAATGAAAGTGTTTCAGATACTCCATTCTTTCCTGTCTACAGCCAAATCTATGCATTTAATACTCAGGATGTGAAGGGTTTCCAGAGACCTTTTACAAAAGTGGGAATTGTAATATCCTGGTTTTTAGGCTCTGAGCCTAAATTTTATAATGTAACCAGTTATTCCAGGTACCTTAGATTCTGGGTGCCTAAATTTAAACAACTTAAAAATTAGGCTCTTTTCAAGTATCTCCTGTTGGGCACCCAAAATTACCAGTCAGTTCTGAAAATCTTAGCCTAAATGTTTGATTTCCAGTTTCTATATAGAAATCACAGACATTGATATGGAGGAAAAAATGTGGCCATTAGTTAAAATAGGGGAAAACTGTGGAGAAATCTCTTATGAGTGGTGGTCCTAGATTTCGAAGAGAGCTGCCATCACCTCCTCTGTGTGTATCTGTTAAAGTAACTCACTGCAATGTGCTGTTCCAATGACATATCACTACCTCTTAAAAAATTTAAAGCAGTTCTGAGGTTCTGAGACAGTGTAGAGGGAAGATTCCATTCACAACTCCTGATGAGACATCCATCCTCAGTTTGATCGTTGAAACCAATGGATCCTGAGTGCCATCGGGCCTCATGGTGATATTGCTATGTCACCTTGTGAAAGCAAAGTGTGCACTAGGGATAAACTCCTGCCCTCATTGAAGTCAAGGCAAAATTCCCATTGACTTGAGTGGGGCCAGGATTTCACCCTTGAAAACTCTAAGCTTCAGCCTAACGTCCTGATTGCAACAAAATTCCCCTTAGCTACATGTTAGTAAAAGAACAGTCTTACAGGAGCAGTCTCTTAAAGAGCAGTTCAGATGGGAAAAAGAAAGAGAACTGCTACCAGTAACAGGTCAGCATGTATGAATGTATGGTTCTGTGTCCTAAAAAAAATATTAGAGATACAGAAGTAACTAGTAAAACATTAACACTCAGGCCCCTTAGGGAAAAATGTGTGTGGGTTGTTTTGTTGTTGTTTTTTTTTGTTGCTATTCACACAACAGACATAATATGAAGGACGGCATGGGCACAGTGTGGTCCAGATAACTATGTTCATTGAATATACAGACCACACAAGGCTGTCTGGTTGGGTTCTGGCAGCTTCTAATGCATAGCACACAGTGAGTGTCGCTAGAGGGTTCACATATTTTTAAAGGGATATTACACTATTATGTACTACATACTTCTGCCCCTTTGATGTAAAGGATGTTACAGTTACAAATATATTTCTGTCAAAACTACTATCAGTAAATGGACACCGTGCTAAAAATTCAGTCTGAGAGGTAGTTTATGACTTCTCTCTGGATAACACAGGCATCACAACGGTTTCTGGGACAGTTTCTGCTCTATCTGGTGCAGCTGTGTCAGCAACACCTTCCTGTTCTGTCATCTTAGGGTCATCTGTCGTAGAAACAAATGTGAGGCTCGGTGGTACTAGAACAAGGAGTTTAAATTCTCTCCACACTGGCACTGCTCTATTAATTTCCTTAATTCCGCCACTATTGAGAAATGGTTTCATTTCCCCTTCAATTCTGACTGTAAGTGCAGAAACGTTCTGCAATCCCCAGTGGCTTTGGGGATGGGGGATTTTATAGAATTTTCGCAATCAGCAAATATTGTGCCTGTGGGTTTAATAGCAGTTGTCCTGCTGTGCAGCGGGTTACATGTTTGAGCCCCTGTTACACTCAGTAAAACGCCACCTTTTTCTCCTCAGTTTATATCATTGGCTATTATACAGTGCTCCAGTCTCCCTAGTCCTCTATGGATCCATCAAACAAGTCCCTTTCCTACCAACGACCTGTCACTTTTAGCCTTTGTTTCCCCCTAAATAAGTAGTTTACTCTCAGTGGCTGCCGCTTTCTTTTTAGTTTCCCTTCCTTGAGGCCTCTGCAGTCACACTCTGTCACTGCAGTCCTGGATGAGGACCCCATCCTGATCACCAGTTGTCTTTTGCTCTTCACACAACATACATAATAAGAAGGAACCACATGAGCACGGGGGCGGGAGGGGGGCAAATACCGACATTGATTGAATATACATACCATGCAAGGCCGAGCTATGTGCACCCTACTGCTGTGGTTGAGTTCTGGCAGCTTCTAAAATATAGACTACAGTGAGGACCATTAGAGGGCTCACAAACTATTTAAAGAGATACTACCCTACTCCTGTACACTACAATTACATATACACGACTTGGGCGATCTGAACCAAACCTGTTGGCCAGGGCTATGAACCTCTTGTTCACTCCCCTCCTTTTTACTGTTTCTTCTAATCCTCTTCCTTAGCACAAGGGGCTAGTGGGGCTGCCCTGTCTAGGGCAGGAGGGACAGATAGATTCTGCTTCCTGCTGCCTGCCTCTGGAGCATGAGTGTTGCCTCAAGCATCCATTTAAAAAAAAGCCTTTGCGTGATAGCACTGGAGGAGCTCTCGGGTCTTCAAAGGGGGGATTTGATAGCTGCTTTCAACTACCTGAAAGGGGGTTCCAAAGAGGATGGATCTAGACTGTTCTCAGTGGTAGCAGATGACAGAACAAGGAGTAATGGTCTCAAGTTTCAGTGGGGGAGGTTTAGGTTGGATATTAGGAAAAACTTTTTCACTAGGAGGGTGGTGAAACACTGGAATGCGTTGCCTAGGGAGGTGGTGGAATCTCCTTCCTTAGAAGTTTTTAAGGTCAGGCTTGACAAAGCTCTGGCTGGGATGATTTAGTTGGGATTGGTCCTGCTTTGAGCAGGGGGTTGGACTAGATGACCTCCTGAGGTCCCTTCCAACCCTGAGATTCTATGATTCTATGAAAGCCATCTCTGGGGCAAAAATAGGCAACTTCTGCTGCTCAAGTCTCCTCCAGAACCTGCCCCTCTCAGGGCCCCAAACCCCCTTTGCTCCTCCTCAAAGGCCTGCCTAAAGCCACCTTGCTGTTGTTCAAATCCCTCCTTGAACTCTCCTCATCCATCATGCCCACAAAATATCAGTGGTCAGGCAGATGGTGTGATATGACCACCCCTTCCACACTGACCAGTTGGTTTCCTTTTGCTCCCTGTGTCTTTTGCCTTACACTTATACTGTGAACTTCTTGGCTGGTGGCAAAAGAATAACAAAAGAGGGTCGTTGATGTTAAGTGATTTCCGGTTGAAATGAAATAGCTCTAAATAAAGGACTGGCTCCCAACCAGGAGAACTGGTTTATTGGGGAGAGGTTTCCTTGGCAACAGAGTCATTCGGCAAGGGACAGCAGTCATCTTTTGAGGCTGAACAGAGAGTCACCTGACAGAGAGGACTGGGACATTATAAAAATGTCAGAAGCTGTTCTTTTTTATTTCTTTTCTTGGGTCATTTTTCTCCAGCTCAAGAGAAGGGAGAAGTAACCCAGCATGTCGGAGCCGGGTGAGGCAGGGGATACTGCCTATCTTCCTGAACACAGATGGTCCCCCAAGAACTCCCTAGGAAAGGGTGAGCTGCATTTAGGACGTTTGGTGTGTTCTATATGGTCTTACTCTCTTGTGCTTTATCTGTTAAGTAAAAGAGCAGTGGTGTTAGAATCTGTTCTGTGTCTGTGTGTGTTATAGGCTTTACACTTCCCTCGTGCTTCCTGAGTTAAACTGTACTCCAGAAGGCTCACAGAGGGTGTGTTGAAGCTATGGGGAAGTGTGAACGGTCAGCACTGAGCCTCGGATCAGCTAGACAGGGGGTTGCAACACTTAAGGATAGTGTACTAGGCAGAGGGTCTGTGCCCCAAGACTGTGCCTAGGGACCCCAAACACCGGGACCGTGTGAGTCCCACGTCAGGCTCTGGGGGCTAAAAACATGTGGGGACCCAGCAGCTGGGTTCCCTCAGCAGTGGCCAAGACGGGCTCTTGACTGGGACCTGCAACAAGGTAACACAAGATAGCTGTGATCCAAAGCATGGAGGTATTGGTAAGCAAACATGGAGTCATCAAATCCTGTTAACTAGGGCCAAGATGTTCAAAAACAGGAGCCTGAAGTGAGGTCCCTCCAATAAGAGATCTGAGTTTCAAAAATGCTGAGCTCCCATTGACCTCAGCTCTGACCTCAGAGACTAGACCAGGGACCAGAGTCTTCATACCTCAACTGCCAGGTCCTTTTTAACTTTTAGGACATGAGATTTAAGATTTCCGCTAACCCTTCCCTAGTGTATCATTTCTCCCCCTTCCATTTTCTCTCTGTTCTTTTCCATCCTTTTTGTCTTCTCTATCAGCAGTTTCAGACTTGGTCAATTTTGGAATTGGCTCAGTTCCATTATATGATTGCTGTAATCAGTTTGGAAGGCTAAAGCAGCCTGAGAATCCCTGCACTGGCGTGAGAGAGAACTGGTGGGAAGAAACTAGTGCAAATGTCAGCTGAAACTGGAGGAGTGAAGTGAAACCCAAAGGTTGAGTGACCGGTTTATGACCAAGTTGTCCGTGTGTCCTGCCTGCAGCACTCTGGAGAAGCAAGTATCGTAGAAGTTCCTGTTCTTTTCTGTCATTTTCTTAGAGTTGGTAAATCATTAGAAAATAGGGTTCTATAGAATCATAGAAATGTGGGGCTAGAAGGGACCTCAAAATGATCAAATCCAGCCCTCTGTGCTAAAATAAACCTAGACCATCCCTGACAGGTGTTTGGACAACCGGTTCTTAAAACCTCCAATGTTGGGGATTCCACCACCTCCTTTCAAACCCTATGCCAGAGCTTAACTATCCTTGTCATTAAAACGTTTCCCCTCATATCTAACCTAAATCTCCCTTGCTGCAGATTAAGCCTATAATTTTTCTTGTTTTACCTTTAACGGACAGGGAGACCAACTGATCACTGTAATCTTTATAACAGCCCTTAACATATTTGAAAGCTGTCATCAGGTCCCTTCTCAATCTTCGTTTCTCAAATATGCCCAGTTTTTTTAGGTCAGGTTTTGTAAATCTTTTATAATTTTTGTAGCTCCCCTCTGGCCTCTCTCAATTTTTTCCTCATCTTTCTTAAAGTGTGGCGCCCAGAACTGGTCACAGTACTCCAGCTGAGGCCCCACCAGTGTTGTGCAGAGTGGGACAATTACATCCCATGTCTTACACATGACACCCCTATTAATGCACCCCAGAATGACACGAGCCTTTTTTGCTCATTGTTGAGTCATATTCAGTTTGTGACCCGCTATAACCCCAAGTCTTTTCCAGCTGTATTATCACTGCGCCAGTTACGTCCCATTTTGCAGCTGTACATTTGACTTTTCCTTCCTGAGTGAAGGATTTTGCATGTGTCTTTATTGCATTTCACCTTGCGGGATTCAGACCAATTTTCCAATTTGTCAAAGTCCTTCTGAATTTAAACCTGTTCACCAAAGTGCTTGCAACCCCTCCCGGCTGGTGTCATCCACAAATTGTATAAGTATACTCTCCACTCCATTATCCAAGTCATTAGTGAAAATACTGAATAATACCGGACCCAGGACAGACTCCTGTAGGACCTCACTAAATACGCCCTCCCAGTTCGACAAATAATCATTGATATCTTTAAGTGTGGTCTTTCAACCCGTTGAGCACACACCCTATAGTAATTTTATCTAGACTGCATTTCCCTAATTTGCTTATGAGAATGTCATGTGTCAAAAACCTTACTAAAAACAAGATATATCACATCTACTGCTTTCACCTATCCACTAGGGGAGTAACCTGAAGGAAATTGGTTTGGCATGATTTAGCATGGTTTGGCACGATGACAAATCTATCCTGGCTGTGTTTTATAAACCTATTATACTCTAGGTGCTTACAAATTGATTGCTTAATAATTTGTTCCAATTCCCTGGGACCTCTTTGTTTCCCCTTTCAAAGATAGGTACTATGTTTCTTTCTTCAGTCCTCTGGGACCTCACCTATCCTACAGGAATTTTAGAAAGATATTTTCTAGACAGTTCTTCAGCTAGGTCCTTAAGTACACTATGATGGATTACATCAGGCCCTGCTGATTTGAATACATCTAACTTATCTAAATATTCTTTAACCTGTTCTTTCCTTATTTTGGCTTGTTTCTTGCCCCTTGTCTATATTAATTGTGTTGAGTATCTGATTACTATTAACCTCTTTAATGAAGACTCAAGCAAAATAGTTATTAAACACCTCAGCCTTCTTGATGTCCTCAGTTATTAACTCTCCTTCCCCACTAAGCAGAGGACCTACACTCAGAGTGGTCCCTAGGATATGGTGAATCGGGGCCGTTGCCTAGGGCCCTGTGCTTTGGGGGCCCCCACGCTAATCATGAGGAGACATGCGGGGAGGTGAGGCGGAGGCGAATGGGGAGATGAGCGGCTAATGTAAATAAAGAACCTCTTTTTGTTGCCTTTTTTGTCCCTTGCTAACAGGACTTATTTTATGCCTTACACTTTCTGCTTTTGTCCCTACATGCTTGTGTTATTCTTTTGAACTCCTCCTTAGGAATTCATCCAGGTTTCCATTTTTTGCAGGATTCCTTTTTGATTTTCAGGTCATTATAGAGTTCCTGATGGAGCCATATTGGCCTCTTACTGTTCTTCCTATATTTCCTTTGCATCAGGATAGTTTGCAGTTGTGTGTTTTAATATTGTCTCCTTGAGAAACTGACAGCTCTCCTGAATGTCTTTATCCGTTAGATTTTTCTTTCCATGGGACCATTCCTACCAGTTCTCTGCGTTTGTCAGTGTGCTTTTTTAAAAACAAACAAACAAACTTGTCGTCCTTATTCTGCTGCTGTCACTCCTTCCTTTTCTCAAAATCATGAAATTTGTCATTTCATGATCACTTTCACCCAAATTGCCTTCAACCTTCAGATTCACAACCAGTTGCTCCCTTGTGGTCAGAATCATGTTTAAAAAATGGCTGTCTCCGTGGTTACTTCCTCAACTTCCTGAAATAAAAAGTTGTTCCCCATACTCATGTTTTGCCATATTATTTTTCTACCAGATGTTTGGGTAGTTAAGGTCCCCCATTATTGCCAGATCTTGTGTTTTGGATGTTTCTATTGTTTGTTCTAGAAATGCCTCATCCACCTTCTCTTCCTGATTTGGTGGTTTATAGTAAACCCCTATCATGTTATCACCTCTATTTTTTCCCCTTTTACCTTCACCCAGAAACTTTCAACTGGTCTGCCCCTCACCTCCTTCTGGACCTCAGAACAACTGTATATGTTCTTGCTGCATAATGCAACACCTCCTCCCTTTTTTCTTGTTTGTCCTTCCTGAACAGACCCCTCTATAGCAGTATTCCCATCATGAGACTTATCCTACCACGTCTATGACCCTATTGTACTTTTCCATGTTCATCCCCTCTGCTCCCAACATCTAGCCTCTGTTAAGGTTGCCTTTTTAATGCTTTTCCTGAATTTTTTTCTAAATACAAATCTAAACTAAATGTTTCAAGTTACTTTTTTCTGAAATGTTTTGGATTTTCCCCACTTTCTGTTTCACAAATTTTTCCAGTAGGAAAACAAAATAAAGTGGCAGGGGATGTGGGGAAGACCCGGGGCTACTTTTTCAAACCTTTTTGCTGTTTAACACAGTAAGAAAGTGTGATGAAGTAAGTTTCCCTCCGCTTTCTCACATTGTCTTACTGTTTTCTAACCTAAGCAGCCATTTGGTATGACTGTAAGAATTAAGGTTGTACAGCTGTTTATGAAGTCTTGGGTGTTAGCAATGTGTTGCGGAAAAAGAGGGCAGAAGTAGGTAAGAGCTGATACGTTTAATATTGGTGCAGGTAGCGAGCATATAGATGTGTGATTGTTGGCCTGTTGTTCTTAGCTTCTCAATGCTTGAAGAAAGTATTACAGTTGAATAGAGCTTCCTTAACTAATAAATGATTTGTTGTGTGTATATACATAATATATATAAAATTACCCTTTAAAAAAATTAGCAGCCAGCTAAACCTGTCATGGGTGAGTCATGGATGGCCAGCCCTAGTAGTCAGAGCCAAAGTCTGCAGTCACAAGACAGGAGATGAGATGGCAGGGCCAGGACACTGAGACTGGGCTTCACAGGTCTCAGGTAAGCTATTGCCCAGAGGCTACTAGGTGGAGGGTTGGAACATGGCTGCTCGTCTGAACCTTGCGGACTTGGGTTCGGAGCTCATGACAAAATCTGCACATACAAACCCCTACAAAACAGAGAACTGATCAGCGAAGGGAGGCTTCATTGTACCATAAAATCCATACATCTCATCAATGTCTCGCAGAGTCAGACCCTGTCCCTCCCTAAGAGACTCACTTCACCTCACACACACATGGATATCCAGTGAGACACAGAATTCCTCTCACTCACTCTGGAATGCAACTGCTGAACCCCACCTCCGCAGCCCATATGTGGGGATACTCCTCAGTCTGTCTATGGAGGCTGGTAGGTTTTGGCCCATAAAGTTCAAAGATTAGTATAAAAAAATAAAGAAGAATCAGATAGTTTAACATTTCTGTCTGAACCCAAGTCCAGGCAAAAATGAAATTAATTAAATAATATTCGATCAGTGTGGTTATCTTCGGTGTAAGATGTAGGGTGTCGATATTGCCGTGTTGTCAAGGGAAGGCGAATTAGCGGGGAGTGAGTAGGTGGCACATAATGATGGATGGTGTGTAGATATTCACGTACTCAGTATGGAATGGTGCAGGGGGGGTTCTGTCAATCTTAAGAGATTTGCTCTGGAATGACGAAGTTCAGTGACCCTTTAGGGTGGCTTCACTCTGCAGTTTCATACTCCACAATATGTTTTTTTAAATGAAACTTTCCTTTGTAGGTTTAAAAGGGAAAAAAAATCAGAAAGACATTCAGTATTCTACTAATAAATTTTATCTTTAAAGTACTGATAGAAATTTGCAACCTTAATTCCAGTTGCTGAACTTTTTTTTTTTTTGACTAGGAAAGGGGCAGGGCTGAGTCTAATAGTGACTGATTTTAAAGACACTGGAAATGCAGAGACCATATATAGACTATGAGAGCACTCCCAGATTTCACCAGATTGCAGAGAACAGTATTCCTCCACTTTAGCATGAAAAAGTTCTAAAAAAAAAAATTCAAGCTAAACAAGCTCTCTTCAGCGCCTCAAGGTGAGTCCACAATGCATAATATTTTTATTGATCTGTCATATGGCTGTCAGCCAGGTTCTCTGAAGAAAGCCAGAGTTTTCTGTGCAGATAGAAAATGGACACACATGTAGAGAGCTCTCTGGTCCCGTGTAGAGACAGAGGGGTATATGTTCAAGATAATATTTGACTGTGATTTCTCTTGTGTGAAAACCTGAAGGGAGAATGTGTGTCATTTGCTCTAGTTTCTGAATCTCTTGTCAGGTCTCTTGTATTTGTGTGTGGGAAAGTGGCAGAAAGAGACACTGTTGGGGAAGAAGTAATGGGCCCTTCTGTGTCTGCAAGTAGAGGGTAGAGCTGGGTGAAGTATTTCAGCTGAAACCTTTTTTCACCTAAAAATGCAGATCAGTGTTGGCCAAATCATTTTGCAAATTGATTTTGACACATTTTTTTTGGTCGGGGGTAGGGGGTAGCAAACATTATTTATTTATTTTATTTTATTTATTCTGAAAAACGTGAAGTGGTTTGTTTAGGCATTTTGGAAACACAATATTTCAACTTTGCATTTTGAAATGTCTTGGTTTTGGAATTTCCTTTGATTTTTATTTAAAAGGTTAAAAATGAAATAAAAAAAGAAGGGTTTTGTTGCATCCAAAACAATTTTGTTTTGATTTTACAGAACTGTCACTACACTGAAAAATCAGTTATTTGCACAGCTGTAGTGGAGGGGAGAGGGGATCTGAGAATCCCAGCTCCACAGGGGAAGGAGAAAGCAAAGCTTGCTCTGCAGCATCTTTCTATTTTTGCCCCCAGTCCCACTGATGCCCTTCCACAGAGTTCAAGCTCTCTTATATGGTGAGGGAAAACAGTCCTGGGGTGGGCAGCAGAAATAGACCCTCTTTGTGACATTCTTGTATCTCGATTAAAAAGCCTCCTTTTTTGAACCCTCCTGTCCCATTGAACTCCCTGTTCTTTACCTACATTAATATTACATTAAATCTGCGAAAGCCAAACTTGCATGTGGTGTTTCAAGATCACAGCTACTTCACAGGCTGCTGACAGCATGTGCACATTAAAGTTACTCTAAGACCCTTAGCTTCTGAACTTGGCCCACAAAATGCTGCTCCATGTCACACCCTCTCTCAGCCGCGTTTTGCAAATGCTCATTGAATAACAACATGGGGTTTGAATATTTTCTTTTAATATTTTTAGTGGGTCAAGAAAATGTATGATAATAAAACTATCTTTGTGACTTTTTTCTTGCAAAATGTTTTCAGAAATAACACAAAAGAATAAAAGAAATATGGGAGAGATAGGACACCATAATCAGAAAGGAAAAACATACAGTAAAAATTATGAAACAGAATAAGAATTAGGTACCAGAAACAATAAGGAAGCCCAAATTACATCAGGAGAAGACTTTCATATCCATATCATATAGTAAAGCAAAGTGGTTAAATTCATCTGGTGGCTTATGGGACGTGGGGGATAGTTTTGTTCAAATGCTGAAAAGTGGAGCCAAATTGTTGAGAAATAACTAGGACTCAAATTGCCTTTTTATTGGTAAGATTCTTCATAAAACTAAATGAGCCTGCAGCATTGTTTAATCAAATAATTGTGTCTGGAGACTTGTTCTCTTACTAACATGCAGCTAAGGAGAATTTTGTTGCTCTCGGGAGATTAGGCACAAGCTTAGAGTGGTCTAGGGTGAAATTCTGGCCCCATTCAAGTCAATGGGAATCTTGCCTTTGACTTCAATGGATCAGAGTTCATCTGTGGTTCATACTCCCCGTCACAGGGTGGCACAGTAATATCACAAAGAAGTCCAGCTGCAATCTGGATCCAATGATTTCAAAGATTAAGTCAAGGGTAGTTATGTAAACATTTGCCACATTCAGACACTTTTCTGAATGGAACTCCCCCTTCCCCCACCCCACCCCTCTCCACTGAGTTGCTTTAATTATTTTAAGAGGTAGTGAGGCATCACTGGAACAGCAGCTTATAGTGAGTTACTTTCAGAGGAAAGCATACAGAGGAAGTGATGGCTCTTGTACACATCTGGGATCACTCATCCAGAATTTTGCTGAAGTTCTTTCCCCATTTTAACGTATTGCCACTTTTTCTTTCCATACCAGTGTTTGTGCTTACTATGGAGAAACTGGAAATTACACAGTTTAGGATAAGGTTTTCAAGAGTGACTCATAATTCTGGGTGCACAGCATGAAACGCTGAAAACTGGGGATTTTTCAAGTGCCGAACACTCACCCCCTGAAAATCAGGCCCCTTTAAGGTGTCTCAATTTAGGCACCCCAAGTCACTGGTCACTAATGAAAATCTTGTTCTCAGAGCCAAAAATACAGGATATTACAATTTCCACGTTGGTAAAAGGTCTCTAGAAACCCTTTACATCCTGACTATTATGTGCATAGATTCAACTGTAGACAGGGCACAATCAGGATCTAAAATATTTCCATTCTTAAATACATGACTGTTCTGCCGAGAGAATGGTCACATTTGCGCGAATGGTTTTTTTTAAGCTTCTTTTCTTTCAAAGCTTGATCCTCCCTAGAACAAATGTCTCCCCCAGTATAATCTGACTTTCTGTGACTAAGCGTTTCAGCACAACAGTGTCTGTGGAAGGAGGTGGGAGTAACTCAGGAAGAGCACTGAGGTTTTGCTTAGATTTCTTACGTTTGCTTAGACTCTGTGGTTCTGCTTAGATTTCTTCACCATTTGTCTTAATTTTCGGTTGTTAAACCATTTTCCTTTTTTTCCTTCTGTTCATTTTTTATGGCTCCTGTTTGCTGATAGCCAAATTAATGATTCTTTTGCAACTCTGCTGAAAACTCTATTGTAAATTCTATTTAAAAAATTGGCCTCCAGTTTTGCCCCCTAATCAATTAGGGGCTCAGTTTTTGGGAGTGCAAATATTCATGGGGTTCAGTGTTGGCATTTAGAAGTCTCTCTGATTTGGGGGCACCATCAGCAAGTCAGTCAGCAGAGGGCACAATAGTGCAAAGGAACCTGTATGTGTGTAATGGTGACCCCATCTTAGGCTCGGGGCCTGTCACCTGTTGTGCCTACAATGATTTGCACCAACAAAACTGCACCTGCTACTGATCGCAGGTAGAAAAATGGACGCTGTTTTTAAACCTGTGGCCCTAAGCCTCTAGCTAGTAGAACTGATGTAATTAGGTGCATGGGGATAATTCTTATTTAGTTAAGCATTTGTCATATTTTCAATCAATGGCTTTTCAGGGATCTGTCAGACTTTCCTTTGTTCATAAATTCAGTAAGATGTTTCTAGAGATTTGGTGAACAACAATTCACCCCCAAAACTTGGTTAAATTTTAGAGCTATATTCTGCCCCCATTATTCACCCCGAGTATACCTTACCCACATGTAGTCCCACTGAAATCAACATGAGTAAAGATGGCAGAATATGTCCCAGAACACTCAGAACAACTGGGCTGTAGTCACACAAGTCTGACTGAATGCGGGTGCAGCATGGTGTCCAAACCGCTTATGACACAGTTATGGCCTGTGAGTTAGATGAGTATGATTATCCCCATTTACAGATGGGAAAATAGAGGCACAGAGAGACAAAGTGAGCTGTCCAGTGTTTCATTTGTGAGGAAAACAACAGAGGAGTTATGAGCCCCCATGATTTACTCTCATTACTATACTACACTTCTGTCTTCTACATAGGGAAAATTGCTGTTATACCCCATTAATTATGAATTACAGGATTTTATTTTGTGTGTTAGTTTCCTTTCCTGATACCCAGTGATGGAAAACAGAAGCAGCAGGATCAGTGACCTGCTCATACATGCCCTCAACAACCTCTCTCAGGAAGAGTTCAAAAGATTTAAAGACAAATTATCACACTGTGACTTTGAGGGGAAAGGTAACATCCCCCGAGGTCGGATGGAGAATGCTGATGCAATAGATACGAAGAACCTCCTGATGGCATTCTATGGTGGAGACGCTGCAGTAGATGTGACCATAGAAGTTTTCAATCACCTCAATCTCAGAGAAGCTTCTGCTAACCTCAGAGAAGAAAGAAAGAACGGTAAGAAACCTAAAGTTCCTATAAAACCTGGGAGTCTCCCCAAGGAATCTGCAACAAGAACAGAAGGAGAAACAGGCTGATGGGAGGAATGACAAATTCTAAATCCCAGCAGGAAGCCAGGGGAACTCAGAGCAGAGATGCTCACAGTGGGCCAGATTCTCTGACCTGCTCCACTGCCTTTTTTCTACTCAGCGGGCACAAGGGGAGCAGAGTCAGCCTGTAACTCTCCCTCTGAGGAAATCCCCATGAGTGTAGAGCCAACAGAGCGGTGCAGAGGGACTGTCCTGGACGGAGAGAGGTGGGGAGGAGGAATGACTGGAGTGCATCCCCGTCTGGGGGACCATTTCTTGGGGTCCAGTGGCAGCTGATGCAAGTTAGAACAGCCCCCAGGCAGCTCTAACCTGTGGTGGGGCTGGGACAGAGAATCAATGATCTGTAATTGGAAACTGATCACAAAAGAGAATCTGACCCAGCATATTCTCAGTAAACAGCTGAATGGGACCTTTCTACGATTCCAGGCAGGGACTTTATCTTCTAGGCTCTATTTAATTAAAGAAACAAATTTAGTGGAAAACAAACTGTTGAGTGGGCAGCAAACCTAGGGAGCTGCAGTTCAAAGGCCTCCAGCTGCTTTTAAGTGTCCCACACGAGAGCGAAGTCCAGTTCATGCAATCAGGGTGGTGCTGGCCTAGGGCATCTATGACACCACCTTCACAGTCCTCGAGACTTGTCTACACTTAAAGTATATCAGTTTAAGGAAGGTCTGAATTTAAATTGGAGTAGCTGTTCCCGAATAACTCCATGTGTGGACACTCTTATTCCAGAATAAGAGTGCCTTTTTTCCAGTTTAGCTTAATCCACTTTCAACATATATTAAGCTAACTGGGAGTAAGAGTATCCACATGTGGAGTTGTTATTCCAGAATAACTCCAGATGTAGACAACCCTTCAGACAGTGGTTAATGAAGTACATGGCTGCTTGTATAGTCTCACACGTACAGTTTTAAGAGTATAGACTGGCACAGGTGTGGTTAGCTGAGTCCCATCCTCAAATCCCATCCTCAAAGTTAGGTCTTGTAGAATTAGCACCTCCTTTACTCAGTTTCTAGGTGTGGGGAAAAGTGGACCAGATCCAGTCCATTTGAGTGTTCAGGGCTTTTGATGTCCAGATTTTTCCAGGCCTTGAAAGAACCAATTCTAAGCTGCTGAGAGATTTGAAATAAGAAAAACACGTAAGGTGCCATTTTAGTTTTTACACCATGCTTTAAAACCTTTCATTTTTGTATGTAGAGGCCTCTTCAGCTCATAGTTTAAAAACCTTTGCCTCAGGTTGGTCTTGATTGACCAGTCTTTTGGATGGGAGCCAAACACTCTAGCCAGCTGAGCAGCTATGGCCAGTATCCCATCCTTATTTCAACCCCTTAAACTGTCTTACATATAATTTACCTGAGACATTGCTCTGTTTGAATTGTTTGGGGTCTCCTGGTCAGCTCCAGAGTGTCAAACCTCAGTTGTGCCCAAGGGCTGGGCTCATGCTTTGTCTCTGCACTGTCCTTGTGATGACATTCATCATCTGTTACCATGGCTGTGCAGCTCTCATGGCTTGGTTGTAGTGTATCAAACACCGGTTGTGCCAAAGGCAGATGTGTTTCTTCAGTTCTCACTGTCTCGCTCATATAACATCTCTTTACGAGCTCCTTGGCTATGGGTGGTGGCAAGATCCGATTCAAGGTGCCCCCATCTTTATCCCATGGTCCACGTCAATTGGCACATCCTCTTTTATACAATGGTTGACAATGCTGCAAAAGCTGTCCCCCTTGCCCACAGCCTGTGGGTCCAGTCTTTATCTCTGACTCATTGCCTGTAGACAAAAAGTATTGCAAAGGCTAGATACCTCCTAGAATCATAGGGCTAAAAGGGACTGCCAGGGTCATCTAGTCTAACCCCCTGCCAAGAGCTAAGAGTGAGCATCATTCTTAGCACCTCCTGACAAGACTGATGCTGTTAGAAAGAAGATCAACTGTCTCCTTCTGAAGGGACAGCTTGTGAGCAAGGTGGCCTCCTGGTATTTGCAGGCTTCTTTTGAAATGTTTTTTTCTCTATCAGCCATTATGTATTTTCAGTGTGCATTTAACATAATTTTTGTATTTTCTTTGTAGTTTGCAAAATAAACCAAGTAAAGTAATAATGGTAAATATTTTCTACAAAACTATTTAAGATATGTTGAAACTTAAGGAGAACCTTTGGTTTGCATTTCCTGCCCCATAATTACTAAACTGTAGCTTCCCCTAATATTTCAAGGCTATTTTCATGTATTAAATCCATGTTTAACCATTTTCATAACATTACTCTCCATTATTGAAAGCACAATAAAAGCAGATACACTCGTACTCCTATATACCGATACCTTAAATTTGACAAATTCTTATTCCTGCAGAGACCACTGACTGGATGAATTACCCCATCTTCCTTAACTGCATGCCACACTGTGATTCTGTTACACTAACATTCATCTGCAAATTTCTCTTGCAGCTTTATGTCCTAAACAAACACCTGGAAGACCAGGTATGTGACATTCTAATAGAAAATTGTGTTGATTACAGGCATTAGATGTTTTGTTTACCACTAGAAATAAGAAATAACACCTCAGCCTGTGTAGTCTTATTACATCAGACTGTGTACTCGGGGGAGGCAGTGAGGTACCCCACACTTCCGGTTATCTGAACACCCAGTTATCCAACCGCCCAGTTATCCGAACATTTCAGATGTCCTGCAGGCCATTCGGATAAAGAGAATTCTATTGTACGTGCATGGAAGATCCTACAGCTTTTACTCACATGACTAATTTCAATGGGACAATTTATAATCAGGCCCATAGTTAATTGATTTTGGGATACTTAGTGCTGGAAGTTGCAGTATAATCTTAAAGTAGCATTATTATTGTTTAAATAGCTGTACTGTAACATTAGTGGTAAGTCTTTCTTCTGAATTTCTGATTCCATATTTCTAATGCTTCATGTCACTACCTTAGATTACAGGGTGAAATATAGAGAACACATACAAAACAAGTACAGAATAATAAAAGACTTGAACTCTCGTCTTGGTGAGAACGTGACTTTAAACAGCAGATACACAAAGCTGATTATTGTAAAGAAACATTGTCACAAAAAGGAAAGAGAACATGAAATAATGACCTTGGGATGGAGACATGAAGAAATAATGACTAAGCGAGCTAGTTCTATCACCCTGGGTAATTTATTTAAATGTGATGAAGATGGACAAACACCACAAATTGTTGTGCTGCTAGGAGCTGCAGGGATTGGAAAAACAATGACAGCAAGAAAGATTATGTTTGACTGGGCAGCTGGAGAGCTTTATAAAGAAAAGTTTGATTATGCTTTCTACATAAATTGTAGGGAAGTGAACTTTGGCAGTGAGCAAGGAAGAATTGCTGATTTGATTTTAAAGAATTGTCCTAATAAAAATGCACCAGTTGAAGAGATTTTGATAAATCCAGAGAAACTCCTGTTTATAATTGATGGTTTTGATGAATTGAGATTTTCCTTGGATCAGCCAGAAGACAGTCTATGCTCTGATCCCTGTGAGAAGCAGCCAATGGAAATTACATTGAGCAGTTTACTTCGGAAAACTGTTCTTTTTGAATCCTATGTAATAATCACTACGAGACCAACTGCTCTGGAGAAACTCAGACAGTGTTTGGAATGTGCACGTTATGCAGAGATCTTGGGGTTTTCTGCAGCTGAGCGGGAGGAATATTTCCACAAGTTTTTTGGGAATGAAGAAAAAGCAAGAAAGGCCTTTAACTTTGTCAAAGAAAATGAAATGCTCTTCACCATGTGCTTTGTCCCCATTGTATGTTGGATAATTTGCACGGTTCTGAAACAACAGATGGAAGCAGGTGAAGATCTTGCACAAACATCCAAAACAATCACTGGTGTATATATGCTCTATCTTTTCAGTTTATTAAAGGGTCACAGCAGCAATTCAAAGAAGCACACACCAGCTAACTTGAAGGGACTTTGCTCCTTGGCTGCAGATGGAATCTGGAGGCAGAAAATACTCTTTGGGGAAGAAGAAATCAAGAAGCACGGCTTAGATGTATCTGACTCTCTCTTTCTGAATGAGAACATGTTTCAAAAAGATATTGACTGTGAGTGTGTCTACAGCTTCATTCACTTGAGTTTTCAAGAGTTTTTTGCAGCTTTGTTTTACGTGTTGGAGAAAGAAGAAACAACAACCGTGGAAGATTCAGGAAGTGCTATGAACAATGTGAAAAAATTGTTAGAAAACTATGGAAAATCTAGAAATTACTTAATGTTAACAGTGCGATTCTTGTTTGGTCTCTTAAATGAAGAGAGAATGGAGGACATGGAGAAAAAACTTAGCTGCAAAATTTCTCCCAAAATTAAACCAGATTTACTACAGTGGGTTAAAACAAAACCAAAAATATCGTCTTTGTCCCTGGAGTCTGAGGAGCTGTTCTTGGAGCCTGATGAGGAGTTGTCATCCTTTAAACGTAATGCTGAGATGATTTATCAGCTTGAGGAGTTTCACTGTTTGTATGAAATTCAAGAAGAGAGTTTTGTGCAAAGTGCACTCAATCGCTTCACTGAGCTGTATTTAGCTGAATATAATTTTACCAAAATGGACCAAGTGGCTCTTTCATTCTGTCTAAAAAACTGTCGTAAGCTGGAGACGCTCTATCTAAATCTGTGCATGTTTGGATTTGAAGACCCGAATGAAGATTCCCTACGGCCACCCAAGCAGCCACGTTTGTAAGTAGTGTCTGAGATGGAAACACGCCTACATAATTCCTTAAGTAGAGAAACATACATTGTGGAGGGAGAAGGTCATTTAAAAAGGAAAGATGGCAGCAGTACGAGTGACAAAGGTCTTACGGCTGAACTTCAGATCAATGGGAGAATCTGGGCAGTCAGGTGACATGTCAATGAGGCATTAAGTACCAAAGCACCAAAGTACGGTGATTTCAACCGTAAAACTGAAAGGCCTTGTGGAGGTGTGTGTGTGTGACTTTCTGTTCCCTCAGCTGGAATGACACTTGTGAGCCCTGCTGCCTCCTGTTTCCAAGGAGGCCAGGAAGATGGCGCTGCTCTGGGGCTGCAGAGAGTCACCCTCTCAACCACATTAAGGTGTTCACTGAAGAAACACAACTGCTTAAGCTGGGTGCCCAAATAGTGACATTCAGGGCAAGGCACAAAAAGGATCTTTAAAATCTGAGTTACACAAGTTACTGTTAAGTGGAAGAGGGAGGGGGAAAAGCAAAAACATCCCCACACACCTATCCTTTTCTTCACCTCATGTGGAGGGTCAATAATCTCCTCCTCCTCCACCCCTGTAGGCCTCTCACCCCCGCAGGGGTGCTCCTTCTGACCCAGGCCAAACACTCCAGGAAGGTCCCACTCCCTCCCATGTCTCAGTAAGGGGATTCACATCTGCATAATCTTGTCCCCTGCCACAGAGATGGGACACTGGAAAAGGGTGCCGGAATCAGAAGAGGGCCAATTCACTGAACATGTGTTAACTGATGACAGAAAAAAAATCTGCCCCATATTTTCAGTGCATGCTGCACTTTGCGCAAAATATGTGAGGGCAAGAGTGAGGTGATTATGGGTGGCTGGGAACAGGGAATGCAGAGAGGTTCTAGAGTAGCAGCCGTGTTAGTCTGTATCCGTAAAAAGAAAAGGAGTACTTGTGGCACCTTAGAGGCTAACAAATTTATTAGAGCATAAGCTTTAGCTCACTTCATCTATTTTTCTGGATTCATGTCTTCAAGCTGGTAGACTTTTACCAGCCCCGAAAAAAACAGTGCAATGCTTGAGTCCATTTCAAGCCCTTCTGTTTTATACCGGTTCTTATAGCATGCTCATCACTATCATCTGAGGGATTGCCAGTAGCATGCTCATCACTATCATCTGAGGGATTGCCAGCATTAAGACATGAGACACTGTCAGGTGGTATTTGTTCTCTCATCCTCTCCTCAGAGGGAGAAGTGTGTGCAGCAGGGGTGAAAGTAACGTAAAAGACTTACTGGTATGGGGACCTGACTCTGGGACCCTGGAAGGGGTGGGGCCTCGGGCAGAAGGGGTTGGACTGGGGGAGTCAGCCTCTCCCAGCCAGCCCTTCCACGCTGCCCAACCTGCACCACCTGGGGCTCCGGCGGTGATTTAAAGCAGCAGCAGCTGCCCCGTTTGCTCCCCCATGTCCGTGGCCCTGGGGAGGGAGAGGTGGCAAAAGGGGCAGTGACGTTAAAGTGCTGCCATGGCAGTGTTTTAACGTCGGCTGTGTACGGGCCGGTACCGGCGGCCACTTCTTACCGGTGCACCGTACTGGCCCGTACCGTCCTACTTTCACCTGTGATGTGCAGTGTCATGTTTTGCTTGTGTGTGTGTGTGTGTGTGTGTGTGACCATGGGATGGCTCCCTTGTGAATCCCACTCACAGACTCATGGAGTAACTCATATGCAGTGTATGATTACGCCATCTGAGAGGATATTATCATGTTCAGGAAAGAGAATTAAAATCTGTTTCCAGAGATCAACATAGAAAATTTCTATTCTCTCTTTTTAGGGAACAGCACTGGGATGAGCCGACATGTTCACCTATTTACCTGCTCTGTCAAGCATTGAAGGATCCAAACTGTAAATTAAAGAAACTAAAGTAAGACGCTTTTTTTTCCTTTTCAAAACCCTCCTATTATTGCTGTTATCCCGGAAGTTCTACAGCACCGTAGCTCTCCTGACCCTGTCTGCTGTAGTGACTACATAGAATTGTTTAGGTGTTCAGGAATATAAATTTCCATTTACCGTATACTCCCTATTGCCCAAATAGCTTGGGGGACACAGATTTTATATGGATAATTGGGAGTTTGGATAGTCAGGAGGCAGGGGCATGTCCCCTCTCATTCACTTCCATGACAGTGGGGCCGTAGAGAGCTCCCTGCGCTGCCTCCTACGCTGATCCCTGCAGGAGCAAGGTGCGGCGGCTGGAGTGGTCTTCAGGGGGTAGAACAGACAGCCCCAGCCAAGACTGCTCTGCCCTGCCAGCACCACAGCCTTCTTGCACTTGTGTAACGCCGACAGACCCTGGTTGCCAGTGGGCAGGATCGAACCGGGGACCTCTGGAGCTTAGGGCATGAGCCTCTACAGCATGAGCTAAAAGCCAACTGCCTGTTAGCTACGGCTGTAGAGCAGACTCATTTTATCTCTCTCTCGCTCTAAGTGGACTCGGTGCCACTAGATGGGACAGAACACCACACCCAGGAGGTGTGTGGGTTGCACTTGCACCTGCAGAAATCACCTGCAGGGAAGGCTATGGTTCTGGTGTGGCAGAGCAGAGTCCTGGTCTGGGTTCTCTGCTGTCACACACCAAGGTGTAGGTGGTGCAACCTAGTAGGCAGAGCAGGAGTCTGGCCTAGTGGTTGGAGCAGAATCAGAGGGCAGAACCAGAGTTGTGGTCAGGAGACAAGCCGGTGGTCAGAGTCAGGGGTCAGAACAGAACCAAAGGGCAGAGCTCGGGTTGTGGTCAGGAGACCAGCCGGTGTCAGAGTTAGGACTCAGGAGTTCAGAGACAGGCAGGAGCTTGGCTGGAGTGGAGCAGGCAAAGGCTGAACAGGTGGGAGGTCTGGTGCCAATGTAGGTGTGGAACGCATTAAGCAGCCACTGTACTGTTCTTGCTACAGGCTTCAATGATGATCTGTTGGCTCTTTTGATCAGTCGCACTGTGACTTAGTGAGGGTTTATTGGTCCCAGCTGAGCTCATTGGGTTGCTAGGCAACCAAGCCTGGTGGCGGTTTTGTTCATGACATCTGCTCTGCCCTGCTGGGACTGCAGCCTCCCCTCCACACCTTGCACGCGCAGGTGTCACCAGCCCAGTGGCAGTGCAGGGAGCCCTCTGCAGCTCCGTTGGCATGGCCCCGCTCGCTCACTCCCATGACAGCAGGGCTGCAGAGGGCTCTCTGCGATGCTGCAGGGCTGGTGACAGCCGATCCCTGCAGGCCCAAGGTCTCTGCTCTAGTCCATATTATCCGAATCCCTACCTTGTCCCCTAACATGAGATGCGTGCTGCAGAGGGTATGTGTCCTCCAGCATGAGGTATGTGAGACAAGAGCTGTGAGAAACACGTAGCCAGGATGATGGGCACATTTAGGTGAAAGTTCAAGATGCTCCTGGGAATGAATCTCAGAGGAGTCTATACTATGACCTTAGCTTTGTAATGTCTGGTAAGGTGGATCAGTGAGTAGAGTCTGAGACTCATTTGCTATCTGAGTTACAGTCATGCTCAGTAGGAAAATGATCTTCCACGTAAGAAAATTAAGCTCAAGTTGAAACGAATGCTTCAAAAGGAGCTTATGACACAGGAGCTGTTTAATGGGTATTCAGAAGTGTCAATCCCCATATGAACCAGAGGATAACGGCTGCAGAGACACTTTGTCTGCTTCCTGATAGGCTGGAATGGCTGACAAATGCCCCTGGATGGAGTTAGTCTTTAGTGTAGACTCAGATGAAGGAGTCAGTCAAGCTGTTTTTCTGTGGCGCAAATACAGGGGTCCCATGGACATGTCTGCATCCCACCAGAAACCCTTTTCACTGGACATTATCGGTACTTCTCATAGTTGGCTGATACGATTCCAGGAAGACATAAGCCATGTGCTCTTGTCTATGGCCCTGTACTCTGTCCGGAGCCAAGCTGTCAGGGAGAGGGCTCCAGCGTAGGATGGAGCAAGGTGTCTTCATTTTACATGATGATCCAAGACTAGACTCTCAGCCTGATGGGATCATCTGCACCACAGCTGAGAGCCGTACCTGTCCTGGCCAGTGTGAGGCTCTGAGGATTGTAGAACCCTTGTCTCTTCTGAGATGTGCCACTGCTTTTGTTATAATGGGCTGGAATCAAGATATGCAGGAGCATCCTCCTCCAGGGATAGAGAAGACATCCCTTGCTAGCACTCTTCTCGGGACTATAGATTCATAGATTCTATGATTCCATAACGGACCACTGTCATCCAGACTGACCTCATCTAGAACACAGGCCATAGAACTTCCCCTAGAGCATATCTTTTAGAAACTTCCCCTAGAGCATATCTTTTAGAAAAACATCCAGTCTTGATTTTAACATTGCCAGTGAATGGAGAATCCACCATGACCCTTCCTAAATTGTTCCAATGGTTAATTACTCTCACTTAACATGTATGCCTCATATCCAGTCTGAATTTGTCTAGCTTCAGTGTCCAGCAATTGGATCCTATTATACCTTCCTCTGCTAGATTGAAGAGCCCATTATAAAATATTTGTACGCCATGTAGGTACTTATAGACTGTGATCAAGTCACCCTTTAAACTTCTCTTTGTTAAACTAAAATGATTGAGCTCCTTGAATCTATCACTATAAGACAGGTTTTCTAATCCGTTAATCATTCTCATGGATCTTCTCTGAACCCACTCCAATTTATCAACATCTTTCTTCAATTGTGGACACCTGAACTGGACACAATATCACACAAGAGCCTCATACAGAGGTAAAATAACCTCTATACTCCTGCTTGAGATTCCTTTCGTTATGCATCCAAGGATCACATTAGCTCTTTTGACCACAGCGTTGCACTGGGAGATCATATTCAGCTGATTATCAACCACTATCCCCGAATCTTTTTCAGAGTCATTGCTTCCAAGAACAAAGTCTCCCATTCTATAAGTATGACCTACATTCTTTGTTCCTAGATGTATACATTTACATTTGGCCTTATTAAAACGTATATTTGTTTGCTTGCATCCAGCTTACCAGGTGATCCACTGTGTATCAATGACCGGTCCTCTTCATTATTTACCACTCCCCCAATTTTTGTGCCATCTGCAAACTTTATCAGAAATGATTTTTTGTTTTATTCCAGGTCATTGATAAAAATGTTAAATAGCATAAGGTCAAGAACTGCTTCCTATGAGACCCCACTAGAAATACACCTCAGTGATGACTCCCCATTTACAGTTACGTTTTAAGACCTACCAGTTAGCTAGTTTTTAATCCATTTTAATGTGTGCCATGTTAATTTTGTATCATTCTAATCAAAATGTCTTGCAGTAGCAAGTGAAATGCCTTGCAGAAGTCTACGTATATTACATCAGTACTGTTCCTTTATCAATCAAATCTGTAATCTCATCATAAAGAGATATCAAATTAGTTTGACAGGACATATTTTTCATAGAACCATACTGATTGGCACTAAACTGTATTTCTCTTCTATAATTCTTTATTAAACAAGTCCCAGATCAGCCACTCCATTCACTTGCCTGGGATCAATGTCAGGCTGACAAACCTATAATTACCTGGTTCATTCCATTTACCCTTTTAAATATTGGCACAATACTAGCTTTCTTCCAGCCTTCTGGAACTTCCCCACTGTTCCAAGACTTACTGAAAACCAACTTTAATGGCCCAGTGAGCTCCTCAGTCAGCTCTTTAAAATCTCGGTGAGCATGGGGGCATGGCTCAAACAATAAACAAGATAGTGGTTTAATCTATCTCTCCGCAATAAACTGGGGAGAAATTAAAACAATTTAAGAAGATAAAAAGAACTAAGACAAACTGAATCCACAGATCTGTGCCCTAAATATGAATAACCCCTCTTGGAGCCAGTTTTAAACAGAAGGCTGAAGGAAGCTGGATAGCTCCCAATCTCAGAGAGCTGACTCTGAGGGAGAATATCCAACAACAGAATCCAGAGCCCTCAGCTTGCAGAATATATTAATAATTACTATGCAAATGTGGAGATGTTGAACTGGACCCTCATCATCCTGTAAAGAGACAGAGGATGAGTGCAATGAGATTTAAAAAAATAATAATTAAAATTGTACTATTGTGTCCGGGGGAGGAAGTGTGTCATCAGTGGCCATTTTGGAAAGGTCAGACAAACAAAGGGGAAGTGTGGTGGCAGCCATCTTGAGAGAGGTGTAACAAGCAGGAAGGAAAGACAAGAAGATGTAGATGTCTGGGAAAGGAAAGATCTCCTGTGTACAAACATCTGACTCCCCCAAAACAAAGACATGGCCATAAAAAGTAGTAACGGCCCTTCAGCAAACAAACTGTGGAGAAGCACCAGTCACTAAGGCTGATCTGAAGGACCTGCTGTTAGAAATCAAAGGAATGAATAAGGAAATGAGGGAAGAGTAATGCAGGCTTACATTAAAGAGTTAAAAATAAAATTAATGATAAACTAACAGATGTGGAAATAGGATTAAATGAACAATCCAACGGAATTACTAATCTAGATTGAAGAATCCAAATAATTGAAAAAAAAAAAAAAAGAACAAGAAATAGAATTGAAGCTGCAGGACATGAAAATTAGAGAATGCAGGAATAGCATAAGGATTAAAGGTTTTCCAGAGGAGACTCAAGGGAGAAATCTGCTGGACACATTGGTCGATATTTTTCATACCATTAATACTGGGTAATAAAGATGCATTCATACTGAGAGGGCTCACAGATCTCTTTTCCCCAGACCCCAAGCAGGCTCCAGACCAGAGATAGGGTTGTCCATCTACACTGCGATCAAGACAAGGATAAAATACTGAGGGTGATGAGGGAGAGAGCTGAATCACTGATGATTCTTAATCAGCCCATACAAATGTTCTCAGATCTAGCAACAGCAACCCTTAGAAAGTGAAG